AGTATAGGAGGGTAAACATCAATATTTATAATGCCTCATGAGCAACACCCACCTGCTGGGGAGCAACACTAGCAACACCAGCAACACCCACCTGCTGGGGAGCAACACCAGCAACACTCACCTGTTGGGGAGGAACAGAGAAGGCCTTGGTCCTCATGTCCACTCTGCTGCTCCGGTCACTCCAGGGGATCACGAACACAAGCCCGGGGCCGAACACCCCCCGCAGCCTCCCCAGTCTGGGGGGAGATTATTATTAATCATATATAATTAATATCAATTATCTATCATGCATCCTACCGTTTATTTCATTTTTAATCAAGGACAGAACTACAAAAAAAATTACCTCCCTCTGCTATAAATAAAAACGTAATCAATGTCAAAAATACAATTGATCATTTTTAATAGGACAAGGACAATATAATAAAGATTATTGTTTTAAGGGCGAAAATCCAATAAAAAAGCAACAAGAAGTTACCTGAAGACGACGATGCGCTCATACAATTGATTACAAAAATACAATACAATTTAATAGGACAAGGACAAAATAACAAAGATTATTATTTTAAGAACAAAAATACAATTGATCATTTTTAATAGGACAAGGACGAAATAACAAATATTAATATTTTAAGGACAAAAATATAATAAAAAAGTACTAAGAAGTTACCTGAAGACGACGATGCGCTCCCACTGCTCGAGGCGCTTGAGGCAGAAGGGCAGGCTGCAGGGGAACGTCAGGACGATGAAGACGAGGCTCAGCGCCGTGACGATGGCGCTGAGGCAGCGCGTCGCGTCGCACGTCTCCCGCCATACTGACCGACGCACCGCTGCACACGTGTTGGGACGTGTCAGGACATGTAGTTGTGCGTTAGGACATGTGAGGACACGATGTTATGCGTTGGGACGTGTAAGAGTACGTTGTTATGCGTTAGGACGTGTCAGGACACTTTGCAACGTGTTGGGACATGTTGCAACGCGTTGGGACATGTCAGGGTATGTTGAAACGCGTTAGGACATGTCAGGACGCGTATCAACGCGTTAGGACATGTCAGGACGCGTATCAACGCGTTAGGACATGTTAGGACACGTTGTTTTGCGTTAGGGCATGCGAGGACACGTTGTAACGCGTTTTGACATGTTAGGACACGTTGAAACGTGTTAGGACATGTTAGGACACGTTGTTATGCGTTGGGACGTGTGAGGACCATGTTGCAACGCGTTAAGACATGTGAGGACCATGTTGAAACGAGCTGGGACACGTTATATATATTATGACACGTTAGGACATGTTGAAACGAGTTATGATATGTGAGGACCACGTTAGAACTTGTTAGGACATGTTATGACNGCATGTTTCCATGTTGATGAAATGCCAAAATATCATGAAAATTTAAAATTATATAACATTTAGAATCTCTTAAGAAAATTTCACTGTTCATATTTGGTCAGGAATAGTTAGCACATACGTATAATACATACTGCGAATATACATATATAAATCGCATAAGAATGGAATAATGTAGTAGCAATTGTATAATATATTGTATAATATATATAAATATTAGGGACTTGCCTGACATGGGGCTGTCTCTTATACACATCTAGATGTGTATAAGAGACAGGGTCTGGATGCTGTATCGATCACTACAGAAAAACCGATGAGAAAGAACTTTTTTGCGATTTCGGAGTGCATGTCAATGAATACTGAAGATACGTTTGATGCCAAATTCGCGGATGTAGGTAGCTGCAAGAGGCAGGCGATAGATGAGGTGGATTTGGCTGACGTTTAGAAAAAGAGCGGAAGCGATTATCACACTCTTCACGGGACGTACTGTCCTAATAGTCCAAGTATGTAACTCCATCCACCAATCACCAATGGCTTTTCAAGCTAAACCCACCAATTACAGACGAGAAATCAACCGCTACGTGTACCTAAGCGAGTTTTGACAGTACTGCCTCAAAGCCCTCGTGATCCCTCCTCTTGAGTACTGCTGCCAGCTGTGAACCACATTCAGAGTCAGCGCAATTAGGCAATTATATAGAGGCAGTCCAATGAGACCAGCGGCATAAGGGAGCTGGGCTACTTAGGGCAGGAATTTTTTCTTAGATGGATCCGTGGCAGGATCGAGGCTGTTCAACGCCTTGCCTATGGAGCTGAGACGATGGAGGGACTTAACCCTTGAAACATTTAAATACTGGAAATGTTTTTGAACTCAATTCCTGATCGTCCCCCCTTGTATACCACTACCAGATGTGCGGTAGTTACGTTCCTATTCCATTATTTCATTAGTTAGTTAAGTTATAGTTATATTTTTAGTTACGTTTCTTTTTAAGTTGCGTTTAATTGTCATTCGGGGAATGATTCGTCTCTCAGGGATTAATAGGGAACGGTGTTCGACGAAGGCGGCGCATCAGCGTGACGGTGGACATCATTAATTGTCCAGAACATCTTCAACAGTGTATACGTTTCATGATACAACGATTACTTTTGTTGAGCTTGCCCTTTCACTTGAAAACACAAATCGAAAAAATGTCTTCACTACGCATGTTTTCCTCACTGTAACTATGAAACTGCTAATCCTGCTACGGCGAATTTATAATAACTGACAAAGCACGGTCTTGTTAATATATGGAAGGCGGTAAATCTTGCTACAATTAATAAATATTGACCAGCTAATTCTGCGGCAATTAATAACAAACAACCGAGTTCGGTTCGTGTTTATAAACATGATAAAATTCGTTGACGAATAAGGAAGTAATAGCTTAGGGTAATTATGGAAGTAATTGCAAGTAGAAAAAAATTTAGTTCAAGTAATAGCCTTCCTTACAGTTGAGACTACACTCATAAAAATAAGTGAGATTTTATCCAAATAGTGATGCACTTTTTGCCTTTGTGTGGGTCATCCTGACCCAGTTTAGCCTGGCAAAAGTTCGTATCACAATTGGGAAGTGTGTCACTATTTGGACAAGATCACCAATTAAATTCCCTGAGTGTTGTCTGAGGTTATCATGGATATCCCAGTGAAAATTTAGAGACGCGGCAGCTTCTGATTAGGATTACCAGAAGCTGGGGCGACTCTAAATTTTGTTAGGGTGTTATTTCCCCACCTTGCGGGGAGGGGGACCGGGGCAGTAGGGGCTCCGTGTCATCCCCACCCCCACAAACTGTAAATATTGCACAACATAAAAATATTGTATAACATAAAAAATGTAGCACAATATAAAAAATATTGCACAACATAAAAAATATTGCACAACATAAAGAATATTCAGTAGAGAAATATAATCTGCCGTTATAACCAAAATATCGTTCGACTAAAAATAAAACTTTGTACAAAATCTGGCATCAGCATAAACAAAATCTGACACAACTCAAAAATTAGCATAAACACAAAATTTGCATCAACACAAAATTTGGCATCAACACAAAATTTGGCTCAACACAAAATTTGTCATCTACCCAAAATTTATCATCAGCACAAAATTTGGCTCAACACAAAATTTGGCATCTACCCAAAATTTAGCATCGGCACAAAATTTGGCTCAACACAAAATTTGGCATCAACACTAAATTTGGCATCAACACAAAATTTGGCTCAACACAAAATTTGGCATCTACCCAAAATTTATCATCAGCACAAAATTTGGCTCAACACAAAATTTGGCATCTACCCAAAATTTAGCATCGGCACAAAATTTGGCATCAACACAAAATTTGGCATCAACACAAAATTTGGCATCAACATAAAATTTATCATCAACACAAAATTTTGTAGCATAAAAACATAAAAATTTCGCATTAGAACAAAATTTGGCATCAACACAAAATTTGCCATCAACTCAAAATTTGGCATCGACACAAAATTTATCATCAACACAAAATTTTGTAGCATAAAAACACAAAATTTTGCATTAGAGCAAAATTTGGCATCAACACAAAATTTATAATCAACACAAAATTTTGTAGCATCAAAACACAAAATTTGGCATCAACACAAAATTTGGCATCAACACAAAATTGGGCATCAACACAAAATTTGGCATCAACACAAAATTTGGCATCAACGCAAAATTTAGCATTAACATAAAATTTGGCATCAACACAAAATTTGGCATCAACAAAAATTTGGCATTAACACAAAATGTGGCATCAACACAAAATTTTGCATCAACTCAAAATTTGGCGTCAACACTAAATTTGGCATCAGAACCAAATTTGGCATCAATTAAAATTTGGCATCAACACAAAATTTGGCATTAACACAAAATTTTGCATCAACTCAAAATTTGGCATCAACACTAAATTTGGCATCAGAACAAAATTTGGCATCAACACAAAATTTGGCATCAACACAAAATTTGGTATCAATGCAAAATTTAGCTTTAACACAAAATTTGGCATCAATACAAAATTTGGCATCAACTCAAAATTTGGCATCAACTTGAAATTTGGTAACAACACAAAATTTGTCATCAACACAAAATTTTGTAGCATCAAAACACAAAATTTGGCATCAACACAAAATTTGGCAACAACACAAAATTTGGCATCAACTCAAAATTTGGCATCAACACAAAATTTATCATCAACACAAAATTTTGTAGCATCAAAACACAAAATTATGCATCAACACAAAATTTGGCATCAACACAAAATTTATCATCAATACAAAATTTTGTAGCATCAAAACACAAAATTTGGCATCAACATAAAATTTGCCATCAACTCAAAATTTGGCATCAACACAAAATTTATAATCAACACAAAATTTGTAGCATAAAAACACAAAATTTGGCATTAGAACAAAATTTGGCATCAACAGAAAATTTATTATCAACACAAAATTTTGTAGCATCAAAACACAAAATTTGGCATCAACACAAAATTTGGAATCAACACAAAATTGGGCATCAACACAAAATTGGGCATCAACACAAAATTTGGCATCAACACGAATTTGGCATCAACACAAAATTTGGCATCAACGCAAAATTTAGCATTAACACCAAATTTGGCATCAAGACAACATTTGGCATCA